AAATGAAGATGATGAAGATGATGAAGATGATGAAGATGATGAAGATGATGAAGATGATGAAGATGATGAAGATGATGAAGATGATGAAGATGATGAAGATGATGAAGATGATGCGGCTGATGAAGCTGATGGGGATCATTGATGCCAAGGCTGATCGAAGACATGTGAAGGACAAGAGTGGAGATGATAGAGATGATGGGGATGATGAAGAAGATGGGACATGTTTGTTTCTTGTAAACCCGAATATCAACTTCCAAGTAAACCCGGCGTAAGCCGCACAACCTCCCCCCTAGGGCTCAGATCTTAAAGTTCGAGGTTTAAGGCTTAGGGTTTGGGATTTAGGACTTCAGGTTTACGGACTCTCAACCATACACTATGAGCTTTGAACCCCACGCCCTAAACACGAAACTCTAAACTCGAAAACGGCCACCAAGAAGCGACCCCACACATCCCGCGACGTATCTCTCGGGGCAGTCTCCGGACCTCCGCAACCATCAAAGACCTCGGCGGGAATTTAGGTAGGCCTACGCAGCTTAGGGTTTAGGGCGGGGGGTTTGCGACTTCTTTGCTGAACCCTAAAACCCTTTTGTGGACGCATGCTGTTTCTCAGGAAGCCTGAACTCCAAAAAGATCTCAGGGTTTAGACTTCGGGTTCCGAGTCAAAGCCGTCTACCCCAGGCTCGACGTTGCAGATGTCTACCGTGCCGACATTTGCATGGTGGAGGGCCTGGGGTCGATTGAGTTGGAAAGATTGGGGCTTGCTTGATAGATTGCTTGACATTTCTTACATCCAGTTGGCCGTGCACCCCTCACCCTCGTGCGTTTAAGCGGCGCAGGCTTGCTTCACGAAGAAAAAGAAGCTTATAAACAACCCATCATGCGAGCAGGCCCGCCAAACCCCGACATTCAAGTCTAAACCATCTACACAACCCAAACCCTGCATGGTCGTTCTGGCAACCCGGCGCGGCCATCCACAGCAGCACGTGAGCCACATGACACAGAGCCGGCTTAAAGGCTTTTGGTTAAGGCCCAGAAGGTTTAAAAGGAGATGGAGGGCTTGGAAGAGGCTTTAGGGTTGCGGCCGTCGACTCGCTGAACCCCCGCGGAGCCGGACACTCAACTGCACAATTTCATGCACGGTCAACCAACCGCACGGTCAACCCGTACGGGTTTAATGATTAGATAGAAATCCCTCTCAGGAAAAATAAATTGTGAAATGAATTCCTTCTGCTGCAGCACTCAGGCCCAGATCTGGAGACAATTTTATCCTTGGATGGAATTTAATAATTTAATAATCAAATAGAAATCCTCTTCGTCTGCATTGCCTTTTCTCACTTTCTTCTGCACACAGGGGCCGGGCACAAGTGAGCCGGAGACTGTCGGTGTTTCTGAAGCTGAAGGTGTACTCCGGGAAGTTCCTGGAGAAGTAAACGCCTCGGGGGAGTGGACGGAGCTTGCGCTGCTGCTGGCTGTCCTGACTGCACTCCTGAGTCTGCCTTGCGCGCGTTCACTTTCTTCTGTACAGCGGGCGCGGGCGCAAGCGATTCGGAGCCTGTCGGTGTTTTTGAAGAACTTGAAGGTGTACTCCGCAAGGTTTCTGGAGAAGTAGACACTTCAGGAGGAGTGGACAAAGCTGGCGCTGCTGGCTGTCCTGACTGCGTGCCAGAGTCTGCCTTGCACCGTTTCCCTTTCTTCTGTTCAACGTGCGCGGACGTGAAGACACCACAAATCACAAGTGCACCTGTCTCTGCCGTACTTGCCACAGCCTGTGCACTTCCTGCGCGGCATGGCTTCTTTACACGGCGTCTTCAGCCGTGCTAGGCTTCGCTGTTGAAGCCCTTGGCCATTTGTAGGTCTGCGGCGATTCAATTAACTCTCAGGTTCCTGTATCGGACTGTCAGCCAGTCATGTAAACCTGAACAATAATATTCGAATATAGTCTGTGAAACCTCAGTTGTGTTACCTAGCCTATCCGAATCCTCCGTGACTCGAGTCGAATGCAAAACTTCCTGACAACGCAAGTCCTGAAAACTAAGTTCTGATATCTAGCCTACCCAAATCACCTGATTTTTAAGGGCCCCTCAGGCGTGAGCCCAGAAAGACTTTAATATTCAAATATTAAAGCCTTTAATTATTGACTTTAATATGCAGCCTGGGACTTTAATATTAAAGTCCCAGCCTGCACATTGAAGATTAAAGTCCAGGTGGTGAGTCCAGGTGGTGGCCCCTCAGGCGTGAGCCCAGAAAGACTTTAATATTCAAATATTAAAGTTTTTAATTATTAAAGTCCCGGCCGAGACTTTAATCTTTAATGTGCAGCCTGGGACTTTAATATTAAAGTCCCAGCCTGCACATTAAAGATTAAAGTCCAAGCGGTGAGTCCAGGTGGTGGCCCCTCAGCCGTGAGACAAATATTACAGTTTTAATTATTAAAGTCCCGGCCGAGACTTACTTTAATCTTTAATGTGCAGCCTGGGACTTTAATATTAAAGTCCCAGCCTGCACATTTAAAGATTAAAGTCCAGGTGGTGAGTCCAGGCGGTGACCCCTCAGCCGTGAGCCCAGAAAGACTTTAATATTCAAATATTAAGGTTTTTAATTATTAAAGTCCCGGCCGAGACTTTAATCTTTAATGTGCAGCCTGGGACTTTAATATTAAAGTCCCAGCCTGCACATTAAAGATTAAAGTCCAGGTGGTGAGTCCAGGTGGTGGCCCCTCAGCCGTGAGCCCAGAAAGACTTTAATATTCAAATACTAAAGTTTTTAATTATTAAAGTCCCGGCCGAGACTTTAATCTTTAATGTGCAGCCTGTGACTTTAATATTAAAGTCCCAGCCCGCACATTAACGATTAAAGTCCAGGTGGTGAGTCCAGGTGGTGGCCCGTCAGCCGTGAGCCCAGAAAGACTTTAATATTCAAATATCAAAGTTTTTAATTATTAAAAGTCCAGGCCGAGACTTTAATCTTTAATGTGCAGCCTGGGACTTTAATATTAAAGTCCCAGCCTGCACATTAAAGACTAAAGTCCACGTGGTGAGTTCAGGTGGTGGCCCCTCAGCCGTGAGCCCAGAAAGACTTTAATATTCAAATATTAAAGTTTTTAATTATTAAAGTCCCGGACGAGACTTTAATCTTTAATGTGCAGCCTGGGACTTTAATATTAAAGTCCCAGCCTGCACATTAAAGATTAAAGTCCAGGTGGTGAGTCCAGGTGGTGGCCTCTCAGGCGTGATCCCAGAAAGACTTTAATATTCAAATATTAAAGTTTTTAATTATTAAAGTCCCGGCCGTGACTTTAAGCTTTAATGTGCAGCCAGAGACTTTAATATTAAAGTCCCAGCCTGCACATCAAAGATTAAAGTCCAGGTGGTGGGTCCAGGTGGTGGCCTCTTAGGCGTGAGCCCAGAAAGACTTTAATATTCAAATATTAAAGTTTTTAATTATTAAAGTCTCGGCCGAGACTTTATCCTTTAATGTGCAGCCTGGGACTTTAATATTAAAGTCTCAGGCTGCACATTAAAGATTAAAGTCTCGGCCGGGACTTTAATAATTAAAAAATTTAATATTCTAATATTAAAGTCTTTCTGGGCTCACGCCTGAGGGGCCACCACCTGGACTTTAATCTTTAATGTGCAGGCTGGGACTTTAATATGAAAGTCCCAGGCTGCACATTAACGAGTAAAGTCTCGGCCGGGACTTTAATAATTAAAAACTTTAATATTTGAATGTTAAAGTCTTTCTGGGCTCACGCCTGAGCGGCCACCACCTGGACCCACCACCTGGACTTTAATCTTTAATGCGCAGGCTGGGACTTTAATATTAAAGTCCCAGGCTGCACATTAAAGATGAAAGTCTCGGCCGGGACTTTAATAATTAAAAACTTTAATATTTGAATATTAAAGTCTTTCTGGGCTCACGCCTGAGGGGCCACCACCTGGACTTTAATCTTTAATGTGCAGGCTGGGACTTTAATATTAAAGTCCCAGGCTGCACATTAAAGATTAAAGTCTCGGCCGGGACTTTAATAATTAAAAACTTTAATATTTGAATATTAAAGTCTTTCTGGGCTCACGCCTGAGAGGCCACCATCTGGACCCACCACCTGGACTTTAACCTTTAATGTGCAGGCTGGGACTTTAATATTAAAGTCCCAGGCTGCACATTAAAGATTAAAGTCTCGGCCGGAACTTTAATAATTAAAAACTTTAATATTTGAATATTAAAGTCTTTCTGGGCTCACGCCTGAGGGGCCACCACCTGGACTTTAATCTTTAATGTGCAGGCTGGGACTTTAATATTAAAGTCCCAGGCTGCACATTAAAGATTAAAGTCTCGGCCGGGACTTTAATAATTAAAAACTTTAATATTTGAATATTAAAGTCTTTCTGGGCTCACGCCTGAGGGGGACCACCACCTGGACTTTAATCTTTAATGTGCAGGCTGGGACTTTAATATTAAAGTCCCAGGCTGCACATTAAAGATTAAAGTCTCGGCCGGGACTTTAATAATTAAAAACTTTAATATTTGAATATTAAAGTCTTTCTGGGCTCACGCCTGAGGGGCCACCACCTGGACTCACCACCTGGACTTTAATCTTTAATGTGCAGGCTGGGACTTTAATATTAAAGTCCCAGGCTGCACATTAAAGATTAAAGTCTCGGCCGGGACTTTAATAATTAAAAACTTTAATATTTGAATATTAAAGTCTTTCTGGGCTCACGCCTGAGGGGCCACCACCTGGACTTTAATCTTTAATGTGCGGGCTGGGACTTTAATATTAAAGTCTCAGGCTGCACATTAAAGATTAAAGTCTCGTAGTGGACTTTAATATTAAAGTCCACTAGCACATTAAAGTCCACACAGGGGGGCGCCAAATAGTACATGTTCTACCTTCGTACCCCCCCCCCCCCCCCAATCCAATAAGGCACCCCTTTTTCGGAAGCCCCCCCCCCCCCCCCCCCCCGATATGTTTCAGAGGGTTTTTTTTACTGCCATCCCAG